CGATGATGACGGCGATGATGACAATTGACAACGATGATGACGATGATGATGACGACGATGATGACGACGATGATGACGACGATGATGACGACGATGATGACGACGACGATGACGACGACGATGACGACGACGACGACGACGACGACGACGACGACGTCAACGACAACGACAACGACAACGACAACGACAACGACAACGACAAAGACGACGACAACGACAACGACAAAGACGATGACATAATCATATAACAGATATATTATATACAGTTATTATGATGTCATATGACAGGTTCATAATGTAGTATCTGTTTATGATGTTTCTGACAACGGCTCAAGTTCTTTTGCCTTGATGATTTTCTATTGTGTAATTGTGTTGTGTTGTGTACGATGATGATGATGATGACGACGATGATGACGACGATGAAGACTGTTTTCGCTGAGCGAAAAGTTTTGTTGTTGTTATTAGAATTTTTGTTTATTAGAATAGTAAAAAAGCCGGATATTTATAGGTTTGTCTGCGGTGAAGTATTTAAGATTTATAGCAGGTTTAAACGGCGATTATGTTAGGGGTTGTTTGTTTGACAGCACCATTGCACTACATCACGGGCGGCAGATACGCCTCGACCACGTGTATGTTCGAAGCCATTTGATGCACTGACTCTACTTGCGCTTTGTGTCTGCCAGCGTCAAGTCAGTGTGAATGAGCTCTCCAGTTTTTCCCCAAATTTTACCGTTTTGTGCTTTGTGAAAAATCTTAGTTCCGCTTAGTTCCGGCCAAAGAAGTGAGTTTATTTAGATAATGAGAACTTATTGATAAGTGTGTAAAAGGATATGTTTAATTTTGGTCATTCATGTAAACACGTGTGTGAGAATGTATACTTATAAGGGCCCATTCCTATTTGACAACCCCATGTTTAAAAACCCTAACCCTAACCCTAACCCTAACCCAACCAAACTCACGACATGGGTGTGTAAACGCTACTTGTACCCTTATAAGTGCTATGCCAGCGACATTGCCATAAGATTTGTTGCCGCTTGGTACAGAGTATAAGGTGATTTAAATTTATGCTTGGTGTACACTGTACAACTACAAGCAGTATGTGTACAAAGATAGAATATGCATTAGGAGATACAGTTTAGTGAAATATGCGTTTAAGTTAAAATTTACGATAGGAATAGTGATTCCATATCAGAGTCAATGTTTAAAGTTTAGGATTTGTTTATTGAGATAGACTTGCAAAGTATATTAGGCAAGTATGCTATGTTACACATTAGTGATTCCATATCAGAGTCAATGTTTAAAGTTTAGGATTTGTTTATTGAGATAGACTTGCAAAGTATATTAGGCAAGTATGCTATGTTACACATGCACAGAAAGAAGGACACAAAGGAAACTTTAATTGTGCAATAATTATTAATTCATGGTATTTGTATGTATATAATTTTTATTACAGATTTAATTATCAGTCTTCAATGTCTTCAATACATCACAAATGGAAGCAAATAAAGACATTTGAAGAAATCCAATTTTGAGCTTGAACTTTGTAATTTTCGTGGTCAGCGCGCCAAAGACGATGATGACGACGATAATGACGACGATGATGATGATGATGATGACGACGATCATGACTACGATGATGACTACGATGATGACGACGATGATGATGATGATGATGACGACGATTATGACTACGATGATAAAGACGATGATGACGACGAGGAAGACGACGATGACGACAATGATGACGACAATGATGATGATGATGACGACGATGATGACGACGATGATAACAACGATGATGACGGTGATGATGACGACGATGATGACGATGATTATGACGATGATGATGACGACGATAATGATGACGATGATGACGACGATGATGACGATGATGACGACGATGATGACGACTATGAAGACGACGATGAAGACAACGATGATGGCGACGATGATGACGACGATGATGACGACGATGAAGACGATGATGGCGACGATGATGACGACGATGATGACGCCGATGATGACTGTGATAATGACGACGATGATGACTACGATGATACCTACGATGATGACTACGATGATGACGATGATGATGACGATGTAGGACAGCGCAGGCTTCTCCAGCTAATATTTATAGCGCCCTACACTAGCCGCCCTACCTGAGCTATCGCACGGCGAAGCCTCACAGCGTAAGTAATCACCATAAACAACGCACCTCATCAGCTGCGCAGCTGTGCAGGGCACTCACCGTGACATGTGAATTTTGTAAGTAATATATTAGGAACATTTTCATTTAAGAGAAAAAGACCTTTCGTCCGATGGGCCAGATTACTGTCATGATATCAATTATATTCATGAGACGCCAAATTTTTTGAAAAGCATCTACATTATATGCAACCAAATATCTCCTAAAATTACAACATTTAAATTTTAAGCGTGCAGTGTGTTGTGTACGTGTGTAGGTAAAACATAACTGCACTGGGTTGTGCACGTGTGCAGGTGAAATATAACTGCACTGTGATGGTGGAAACAGGACATGCTGCCGGCGCTTGTGGATGAAAGGATAACACGAGACGAACGAAAGGAAAAGGTCGCAGAAAATACGAATTTAGCCCGATATTTTATTTGCTTCTGTAAGATTTCTAGTTTATGATTAATGTTAGTTTGAATAAGGAATTTTTTTTACATATTGTTATCACGTGTGTTGAACATTATCTCTACTTATGCTATCTGAAATATTATGAAAATTCGTCTTTGCAATTCGCACTTTTGTCGTAATATTATCCATAAAACAAATCTCGCCAAAATCAGTTCGATGCAATGTATGCTATCGCTATTTGGTGACAACCTTCCATAATATTAGGATCCCTTTATATTATTTTCCGTGTGTTATTTGCGTATCTATTTCGATCAATTATTTTATGCTATTTACTCTGAAGTCAAAATACTGTTGTTCGTTTAACACTTTTTGTAACCATCATAATTATTAAATCATTTTACACGTTACTTTACATTTGCTTTGAATTTCCATGTGTGTATGTGTGTGTGTGTGTGTCGATACATGCATGTGCGTATGCGTTTGCGCGTGCGTGCATATATATACTTGCGTTTGTGTGTATATACAGAAGGAAATTTAGACAGAGGAAATAGGGAAACACTTGTATTACACATACATGAGAATTATTCAATTAACCAGACTACAAGTCCTTAAGAATCTCATGCAGCTTGTATATTTTGATACGTAGTTATCCGTGTTGTAATCAAATGATGGGTACGGGGAAAAAGAAAATTACATGTACTAAAGGTTCGCGTAGATACACCGCGTGATTGAGTTAGCACCATGTATCAGATTAGTTTATAATAAAAGCACTGTCGTGTAAGTGCTTGTCTCGACAGATATAGAGCCAGCGGGTTGCATAATAACCAGAGAATTCGGACGAAAGGGTGACCGCCGTGGAAGGTGACGTAACAGCACAGGTACAATGAAATGACCCGCAAGAGCTAAAATAGAGGTCAGATTTCCTGGTTGCATCGTATAAGTTGTTGGTCAGCTAAGCATTTGAGCTCGACTCTGTGAACAAGAAGTAAGAAAGTGGGAGAGAGAGAGAGCTAGAGACAGAGAGAGAGAGAGACGGAGAGAGAGAAAGAAAGAAAGAAAGAGAGAGAAAGAGTTATAATCTTGTAAATAGAGTCAATACTGTGGCAAGATGTTGCGTTTTATTCTCACCCTGACTATCTGCATCAGCAACGTAAGTACGGAAATAATAATGTTTTTCTAACTAACAATAGCCATCGTCCTAGATAAGCATCAACGCGATAAACTCTTGCTGGTAGCAGAGAAATTTGTAACAACATTTATCGAGATCAATATGGGATCAAGCGTATTAATTTAAACGAAATACTACATAAAATCGGCTATATGCACCTTTATGTAAACACGTGCATATATATACAGGTATATCAGCTGTCTGCAAGCGAAGGTTACGATAGCCATCCTGTGACAAATAGTGGAGATGCTGAGAGATTGCTAAGAACTAGGTATGTTGCTAAATAACTTTCCTTATTCAAACTTACATTTATCATAACACTAGAAATCTTACAGAAGCAAATAAAATATCGGGCTAAATTCGATATTTCTGCGCACCCTTTTCATTTCGTTCATCTCGTGATTATCCTTTCATTCACAAGCGGGCCGGAGCATGTGGCTGTTTCACCATCAAGTGCAGTTATCCTCCACGTCTGACACGTGAGACAAACAGTGTAATTAATGGATTACTGCACACTACACAACACAGGTGTATATGGCATTACCTGCACACGTATACAACACAGTGTAATTATGGGATTAACCTGCCACACGTATACAACACGAGTGCAGTTAGTTATGTTTCACTCTGGCACACGATGTGGCACAACACAGTGTAATTATGGATTACCTGCACACGTAGCAGCAACACAGTGTTAATTATGGATTACCCTGCCACACGTATTACAACAACAGTCGTAATTAATGAGATTACTGCACACGTATACAACCAGTGCAAGTTTAGTTATGTTCACCTTGCACACGTATACAACACAGTGTTACGTTCGTTTATGCTTTCACCTGGCACAACGTATACAACACAGTGCAAGTAGTTATGTTTCACCTGCACACGTGCCGACAACACAGTGCAGTTAGTTATGTTTCAAGCCTGCACACGTGACCAACACAGTGCAGCTTAGTTCATGTTTCAGCTGCACCACGTATACAACACAGTCGCAGTTAGTTATTCCCTTCACCTGAACACACGTGCACAACACAGTGCCGTTAGTTATGGTTTCACCTGCACACGCTATACAACACACAAGTGCAGTTATTGTTTCACCTGTCACATGAATTTCGAATTAGATTTATTATCGAAATATTCAGCGACCAAATTTCACGCAAACATCTTAGTTTTTATCTATGACAAATGAGGAAAAATTAATACGCTTAAAATTTAAATGTTGTACTTTTAGGAGATATTTCGTTGCATATATGTGGATGCATTATAAAATTTTGGCGTCTGCATGAATAAAATTGATATCATGACAGTAATCTGGCCCAATCGACGAACGGTATTTTCTCGCTAAATAAACAATGTTCTTAATCTACTTACTTACAACTTTCGCACGTAACAGTGAGTGACGCTGCGATCTTATGGCACTCCTGGTCGGTCACATACGAGTTGCCAAACACAGGGGTGCCCCGCAGTGTTAAGTTGGCATATTCTAGGTTATCCTCTACTAACAGTCTCATCGTACTATTACAAAACAGTGACATCGCGGTAACGAGTGCAGCCAGCATGATTCACTGTTTACTAAGGCAGAAACCTCCGAGAGTCACTTCCTGCAAAATACCATATAGATTGTGCGCTAATTCTCTATATAATATCCACGTTTATTTCAGAAAGTCAATGCCGCTTCTTGTTATCAATAAGAGTATACATACCACAATCAGCTGAAGTTATTAGCAAATCATAATTTGACCTGTAGTGTAACAATTACTGATACTATGCGCGCGCGACGTACACACACGCAACCACACACACACACCACACAGCATACACACACACACACACTCACACACACACCCACACACCACACACACACACACACACATATATACACCACACACATACACGCCACGCACGCACACATACATCACCACGCACACATACACCAAACACAGAACACACAGAAACACACACACACACACACACACACACACACACAGCACCACACACACACACACACACACACACACACACGACAACGCGCGCGCGCGTGACACTTAGAGCGCGCCACCAGGTACGCGCTACCCGCACCCACACACACATATATATATTATATATATATATACATAATATATATATAATATATATATACACTATATATTATATATATATATATATTCATTAATATATATAGACGCACGCACGCACACCATAAACGCGCAATGATCGAAAGCAGTATAATATGATTGCGCTTTACCACAATCACTATTACTGTCAGTTATAAAGCGACAAATTGAGCGGACGATACCGATGTGACACGCTTTCAGTTTGCTCTGGTCGCATACAGGTCTTTACGTCTAGCTCCCGTAAGTGATTTTGGTCCGTCAACAGTCGGTCGTCCCATGTGACAGCGCGATTCCAAAACATTGGCACTATAAGAGAATACAACGCGAATATAGATACAACAAATGATATAATGAACCCCAGCATATACTAATGGTATTTTATCTATTCATGACGGGGTTGAGCGAAGGATAATATACATATAATTATTTAGATCACTACGTGTAATTGAAATAAACTGTAAAAACTATTTAAAATCAATGGACAACTACTCGTTAATTTTAAGTGAGCAGGAATGCTGCAGCTTCACCAAGATTCTGTGGATGCAATGACTTAAATGTAGTAAATATTATAAATATAGCGGCACGTATATTTTTGTTTACTCAGACAATACACCGATTTGATGCGTGGCACACAGCGCTGCTAATATTCATTGCAAAAATCACGAAACATATTACTGGAAACCGTAGCATTGACATTACATTTAACGATTTCCATTTCTAATAAAGAACGTAAACACACGGTCTTGACTACGATGCGAACGCTTACCTTTCTGGCTTGTCCGCTTAAGACCCTTACATAGCCCGTGAGCAGTAGTTACAGTCACCAACATCGTTAGTCCGCGCGGCTCATGCTTAGCAACCTTGTCGAAATGGCGGTCATCACTGCGTCTGACAGGTGAGGCCCGAAATACGTGCTTTCTAGCACATGACAGCATACAAGAATACATCCAGAATCATTTGGAAAATTATCTACACACTTCGCATCTCACTCGGGCATTAGTCTAACCAAATTTAAGCAGTCGGTGTTATAAGATCGATTACGGTTATATGCGATTTATATATTTGATTCAAATATAGTTCTTGATGAACATAAGACAAGGTCGCACTACCACAGATATGTCATACGAACATTTGACTGAGACACGGGGAAACCCCACCCAATAGAGCAGGTATTTATCTTTCTTTTGATGTT